CCATTTCCCGTCCAGTTTCCAGCCTGTGGCCTGGGAAAGCAGTGGAAGACAGCCCAAAGCCTTGGGACCCTGCACTCACATGGGAAACCCGGAAAGAGCCCCTGGTTCCTGCCTTCAGATGGGCTCAGCTCTGGCTATTGTATAATCATTTGAGGGAGTGAACCAGCAGACAGAAGATCTTCCTCTCTGTCTCTCCTTCTCTCTGTAAAATCTGACTTTCCAATAAAGATAAATAAATCTTTTTTTTTAAATAAAAACGACAAGCACTCCAAAATCATGGTACTATCTGAGTGTTGGGATTTCTCTTTATGCTCTGCTTCCCCATTGCAACTTCAGTATTGTTCCTTATTAATCTCTACAAGAGTACTCTGAAGACAGTGTGAAGTGCATGGTGAGGGTCTAAAAATTATTGCTTTATTATTTTTGAAGTTACCACATATCTACTTTAGAAATAATTACTGGTTTTGATTGGAAAAGGATCAAATTAAGACATCTCTACCTTTAAGAGACATTCGGTGAAATTTCAGTGATGAAATGACACAATTTTCAGGATTTGCTTCCAAAGAATCTAGTGTAAGAGTGAGTGAAGTGGACAGGTGAGCAGATAGATCTGGCCATATGTGGATAATGTTTGTGGCCAGGTAACAGGTGATGTGGGTTTTTCCTATGCTGTTCTTTCCATCTTAATGTATATTTAGCACTCACAATGATCATTTTTCTTTTTTAAAAAATTAGTTTTATTTTTGATGATTTTTGATCATTTTTTTCCTTAAAAGTGGACATTTTAGTGCAGTCCCTCTCCAGAAAATGTTGTAGCTGAATAGAGTTTTCTTCCCTCGGATTAATGCTCTGCTTGACACTTCTCCCCAAGTATCTTGTTCTCTCTGGTTGGTTTATGGGGAGGACAACATGAAGGGAATCCAGTCTGAGATAACTGGAAGGGTTATCTCTGGTCCCTAGGGACTGAGGTCTGTGACAGTTCCCCCAGGACTGTCTGTGATTGTGTCACAGCTCAACTGTTCCCTCTTCCTAATCCTGACTCCTCACTCCACATAGGTATTATTGAGCCATGCTACATGGACTCAGTGGAGTGCTGCCGAATAGTTAACAGCCAGCCTCTGGAATGCTGATCTATAATGTCTGCTGACTCACGTGGTGTAAATGTTCCCACTGTGGCCTTGTTCAAGCTGCCAGTGTGATATCAGTTGGAAGGAGCTGTGAACCATTCACCAGAGGGTAGGCCAGCCTCAGCCAGTGCTATCAGTGCTCTACAAGCCAAGTCCTAAATGCAAATCTCTGACTCTCTTAAAAAGGAAAACTAATTTAACATGAAAACAGTGATGATTCTTTAGTGCCATTAATTTTGGTGGTTTTTTAAATGAAAGAAGCAAACATTTCACAGAGTGAAGTGGAACTGGCCATCTCAAATGTACTAGTGAAATATGCACAATACACACATCACCTATACATACACACACCAGATACATCACAACAGCTTTAGACAATTTTCTATAATAATTGGCTAGAATACACTTGCCTAGGTATAGCCTCCTTTTAATTTCTTAAACAGTAGATAGCTGGAAGTAGTGTTTTGAGAGATCTGACTTTAAATACATTATATTTAGGGTTCTGAAACCAGGGAAAAAAAATTGCCAGGAATTCATCAAGTGCTGTAAAGGTTATTATTACAATTATTATTGTGAACATAAATCAAAGTATACATTTAAGGGAGTCAAGTTTTCATCATAGAACCTGGATTTTAAAATAAGAGTTTGTAGTGTATAACAATTGTTCTCTTTGAAGAAAAATACGAAAGAACATGGAGCGTTTAGAGAATTGTTCAGACTTTCACCATATCGGAGGAGCTGTTGTTGGGATAAGTAAATCATAGGTTGAAGGGTTTTGTTACGGATAGGGAAATAAAAGAGAAAAAAGATCATGTTTAAATAAACAAGGTGGAAAAACAAAAAGGAAAATGTTGTAGGGAGTGACCTGGAAGAGAACTGGAGGAATGATCTTGTCTGAGTGGTGGGTTATTCCTCAAGATGTGATCCATTTTCACTAAAGAGAGGTTATGTGGAAAAGGGAAATACAATGTCTTGGAAGGAAAATGTTGCCCATGGAGTAAATTCACTTGGCCTTACTAGTAATTATCCATAGAGAATCAGAACAAGTTTCCTGCTATATTATGAGAGATTTGGACAAGCTTAAAATCAACTGGACAGGCTGGTTCAAGTGGAGATTCCCGGGTCACTGCAGCTATTATAAATCAGTGGTGTTGTGTGGAACCTGGTGGTTACCATTAAAATTTTTTTTCTAGAAAATTCTAAACCAAATCATGCTGAAAGTTATTATGGGTCAATGTCTGTGGCACTGTTGTTCAAAACTTGGAAAGAGGCTATGCCATTTCCTTGCTATACAAGTGTATCCCCCTTGCAAATGTCATCCTGGAAGCCTGGAACCTTTGTTTTTTCTTTCTTCTTACGTCATTTTCTAGTGCAACACCTTCCATCTGCCTATAACCCAATGAGACTCTCATGCCAATACTTTTATACTCTTGATTTTCCTGTAAAGGAAGAGTACATATGTGTCCCTGTGCACATGTGCTTGTCTGTGTGTATGTGCAGGAATTCTCATGTGCAATTACATAAACAAGAGGGTCATGGGAAGAAATTGTTCTGTTGGGAGATTCTGTTTTCCCAACAGATCTAACCAAAGAGAAATGTGTGGCTATGGTATAGTTCCCATGACTCAGTAATCTCTACTGAATTGAAATCATGGTCTCAGCAACCTGTAGTAGAGGACTTTCCTGATAAAAAGTTAAAAAAAAATCTTATTATTGACAACTCTGCTCCAAATCTACTTTGTTCCACGCAATATGCTCTCTTACATTAGCAGTCCCGTGGCGTGCAGGTGTCCTCCGTTATACCTGGCAACCATTCCACTTGAGTCACATCTGTTTTCAGGTAGTCCACATAGGCTCTTTCTCAGAAATGGGAATTTTTGTCTTGGATCTTGATGAAAAGGGAGTAACCTCCATACTGCCCTCCAAACTGGGTGGGGGGGGGTGTAATTAACTTTCCATTATGGATTAGACTTAAGCGTCTCCATGAAAGTAATGGTGGACATTTACGCACAGGACGACATCCACGAAAGGGCTTAACATCCAAACGGTAGCCGTGAAGTGTGTCTGAAGATCACAAATGGGTCTGCATTGGACATAGGGTTGTTTATTACGTGCTCCCTGGGAACAGACTCAGATGTTGCATTACCTTCTGTTAACCTCCTCGGTTCTTAGTGGAACTAGAGATATTCATGTATTTTGGACAGCTCACTAGGAACAATGTCATTTAAATGTGCCTTTTCAAAAGAAATGACCGAAATGCTCGTGCTTCTTTAGCATGTTTGTATGACACCCATGTTCCTTGCACAACTAGTGCTGCACCAATTCACGGGGAAGCATTAGGATTTCATTATTCAAGTCAGTCCAGATGTAACAACTGCCTTTTGAGAACCTGTCTTTTTCCTCTTTCATTAACAATACTTCTTATGGCTCTTAAGAGTTCCTAAGGAACTTTGTCATTATGATACACTTTTAAAGTGATGTATGCACTGGAATTTTATCTTTCCCATGGAAAGTTTTCCATGCTGATTCTTTTTTTTTTTTTCTTGCACATGCCTTGAGCATCCCGGCACATGACTGAATCCAATGCTGGCAATGTGGGTTGAGTTTCTATCTCAGCACGCAGCATGAAAGCTTGGGTCCATCTGTGTCACACAAAGCCAGCCCTCTCTTGAAGTGATTTGTTTACAGTGTCATTTGATGGAGTGGAATGTTCTGTAACTCATTCAAACTGTTACAGAAGCTTGGCTAAAAGGTCACCACTGCTCTTTAGAGTTTCCAAATCTGGGCAGCATCTGGGAGCTTGTTAAAGATAAGGGTTTTTGCTGGCTTTTTCCATACCAACCAGACTCAATTAGCAAAGGGTTACTCTTTGGGGAAACTTTCTGTCCAGAGAGAGAGAGAGAGAGAAGGGGAGAGAGAGAGAGGAACAAATTATTTGCATCAAAGTTTACTTTGAACTAGATTTGAGTCTTTGTGCCAAGTGACAGTAACATTTAGTAGGCCAGTCTTGGAAAAGACAGAATTGGCTTTTCAATGTCCTTCTTGAATTAACACATCCTCCAAGTGTGGTCTTAGAAGTTAGTTTCAAAGCAAATTGAATCTCACTCCTTCTCCTCCCCCCTCCCCCCCGACGCCCCACCAAAAAAAAAAAATCAGTAAGAAACTGGCAATGCATTCCTGAAAAGTCATAAAGATGGCGAATGATGAACATTTACTCAGCATGATACCAACACTGCTCAAATTATTCTGACCTTACAGTTTGAGTCTGGGCCTTGTGCTGGTTTGTGCTTGCTTTCTGCCCCTTTCTGGAGGAAACAAAAGTCTTGAATTTTCCAAACCCCAAAAGTTCAGCTGTAAAACTGCAGGAGACCAGCAAGAGGCAAAGGAAAGTTTCCTTCAAAGACGCTGCTAGACGCTGCTGGCCAATTCCGGTCTCTCCCATGAAGCATTAACTATGTGTTTTGACACTTGTCCTTGGAAAATGTCCACATGTGGCAGACTGTAGAAGCAATGTTTCTTTCCCTCTTGCCTGCAGTCTCCCCGGTATAATGTGTTCTAGCTGGTCCTTTTATGGATGGAACATGGAAGTTGGATACCATCCAGCACCCTCACATCTGCAGGTGAAATGAGTAAACACATCGTGAGATTATAAAATTAAAATTCAAAATCTCTCATTCGGTTGGATCCCCTGAAAGGATCTGGACCAAAAAGGCTGCCCAACAGCAGCTCAAACGTAGGCTCACTGCCACTGAAAAGAAGATCCCACATAATGTACATGTGTGTACATGTGTGTATGCATCTGTGTGGATGTGTGTATGTTTCTACTAGAAAACTTGAAAGAGAAGATTAAATCAGGGACTATATCTCTGTTTTCTCAGTCTGGAATTAAGGACTGTTTGTTTTGCCCCTGAATAAGGAGATCTTTCTGGCATTCTTTACTGTCCTGCCATTCAGGCCCAGGCAACTTAATCGTTGAGTTCAAAGCTCGGTTCTTCGTAGAGTTCAGGGCGTGGTGATGTCCTGTGCCGGGAATATTTCACTTGCAGGAGGTCACCTATTTCATCAGTGGCTTCCAAAACCTGTAACGAGATGGCCTTCTATCAGTCATGAAACCCAAGTAGGGTGCAGGTAAATGGCAAGCCTCGTGGAGTCCCTCAGTTCATTCAGACAGCTTTTTTGGGCTTTAAGGGAAGGGATCCAGATATGCATCTCTAGGCTGTGGTTTTTAAACCCAACAAGGATTGTTAGTTGCTAATTCCTTTCACTTAATGGTCAAGCTCCACATTATGAATGTTTGTTTACTTTGGGGTAGTTTGAGGAGAGGAATATCAACACCTGACCTGAGCCTATCCCTTTAGGTTTTACTTTTGAAAATTTAGTGACTTAGATATTTTCTTGTGGAAGACAAAGAAAAGCTTGCAGAATGCACTTGAAATCGCGTCTTTGTGACACAGCGAAGCCACGTGGTCAAGTGCAAAGTGGATCGCTGTGAGAACTGATGAGCTTATATCCTTCTGGGAGCTATTCCTCCCATGCCACTCTTGGTTTTAAAGACTCATCGCTATGCTCCATGACATTAAAGGGCTTCAACGTACAAAGGATCATGGAGTCACCTGCCTCAGTTCTCTGATTTTAGTGAGTAAATTTATTCCCAGTTGTACAGATGAAACAACTTCAAGTCAACAGGTTCAAAAGTGTAATTTTTACTTGTAGTATACCACAAATTCTATGGTACTTGGAATACTTTTGTTTTAACCCTTCTGAGTCTGTTTGTCTTAACTGGTTCATTAAAGAGCAAGACAGTATTACGGTCTAACACAACAAAAAGGTAAAGTGAATGTCAACATTGGCGTGAATGATTAATGAGCTCACAGAATTTTCTTTTTAGCAATATTTCAAGTTACTCTCAGTTAAGATTCCAAGGAGTGTGTGTCAAGGCTCAACCAAGTAAGATGCTGATTAGAACTCCTGCAATTCGTATCAGAGTGCTTGTTTAGGTTTCAGTTGCTCGGTTTCTGAGTTAGCTTCCTCCTAATGCACGTGGGAAGGCAACAAGTGATGGCCAAGCACCTGAATTCCTTCAAGCTGTGTGTGAGATCATGCTGGAATTCCTGGCTCCTGGCTCCAGCCTGGTGTAGCCCTCTCTGTGACGGGTGTTTAGGGGGGCCTAAGCCAGCAAATGGAAGCTATTCCTGGCCTCACTTGGCCTTACAAATAAATAAAGAGCTATATTTGAAAAGAGGAAGATACCCACAAACATGTTGAAAGTTATTTTTATGGGGGGGGGTGTGATTGGACTCGAGGTGTTTAAAGTGTTCTCAGTTTTCTTCTAGATTTTTTTGATCTAAGGGCTAAAGAAATCAAAGCAGTTACACGTTAAATGCCGTCTGTCTTTGTTAGTTTCTCTTGTTGTGGAAGGTGGGATCTGCAACAGCATGCCCACAATTGTGAACCAATGTGTGAACCAATTCATGGAGGGAACAAGAGGAAATTACTAGGATTTCTGGCCATTTTTATGTCCAAATTTTCACTTCTTTTTTTGTGTCTATTTTAGAATATACATAATACAACAGTTCATGTTAAAACCACCCCTGCTCAAAGAAATATTGCTCAGCACACACCTCTAGTGTAAGTCAGAGTTCCTTAGCTGAGTAAGGAAGAACTCAGGGAATCTTAATGAGTGAAAGAGGACAGGGGCTTGTTACTGCACTGGTCCATGTGTCTGAGCCCCAGGAGGTAGTGTTCTGATTTGGCTGCCAGCGTCACTTAGCATGAGCAGTTCATTGAGGGCCTGTATGTTTGGGTGCTGAGTGCGCCTGTCTGGTGTAGTTGACATTCTGTGGCCACTGATGTATGGTTGCTATCTTAACGCCTTGTCTGTTCAACAGGGCCTCTGCTTTACCCTTCTCTCATGTACATAGTAAGGAGCTACTCAATTTTTTTCTTTGAGTTGGGTGTATGATCCCAAAAGCTTAGAAGAATTTGTATGGATGATGCCTTGGGGCTCCTTTCAAATCAGTTTTGTAGCAATTAAGAACCTAGAAAAAGAATCATGAGATCTGATACCTACAGAATTGAGTCTATGTGGGCCCCCCAGTGCTCCTTAAATCATTGAGAATACCAGACTCCTCTATGTGGCCCATCAATCAGCTCTGGGCATCTTGAGGAGCTTACACCCAAGCTATGCCTTTTCCTCATGTGCACCTATAGTCTGCCTTCTCATGATCTTCTTCCCTTGATGTGCCAACACATGCAGGTGTCCAACCATTGCAGGCTGGGGTTTCTAAGTTTGACCTTCTTCATAAGCAATGTTTCTGTAATACCTGCCAATTCCTTGTAACCATCAAGTTATCTCACTTTAAGAAAAAAATGACTTATTTAATGAATATAAAGGAAATATCTGACCTAGGTGGAAAACAGAGAGGGATATGAAGAAGAATAATAGAGTTCAGCATTGCTGATGGATCATCTCAAAGCCTGGAATTAGCCCAGCTGTAAATGTGTCACTCAGTAAATTTTGATGCGTAACAAGTACACAGCAAATACTCGTGTTTAGGTCCTAGAGTAATAATGGTGAAGAAATTAAGACACAAGGGGCATTGTGTGTATGTGTGTGTATGAGATTAAGATTCAAACTATCCCCTTCACCATTTTATCCTTTATATTCTTATTTCCTTTCCCTGCATTTTCCTACTGTAAGGAATACCAGGTTCCTACCAATGGCAAATCCAGTACTTTCTTCTTCCTGTCACCCTGTCACTCCACTTACACTTTTTTCCTTTTACTTTTTTGGAGGGGCGGATATTTTGATCTCATTTCTCCCGGGAGTTCTCGCAGTGTCTAACACAACATCAGTCCATATGTTAGTTAGCCCCAAGTCTATTTCCTTGACTGTGATTTTGTATGAACTCAGGGATGTGGGCATCATGCAGATATCTGCCTTGGCTGATCTTCTCACTGGCTGTCATATCTCTCTCCCCATCAGCTCTAACCACAGTTGACTAGATTGTAGAATGTCTGGCCTTGTATAATCCTGCAGCTTCAGCATCTGATTGTCTCTGATTACGGGCCCATAGAAGAGTCATCTCAATGGGTCCCACACTATGCTCACTTTATTCCCCCATGCCCACTGACAATGCGCTGGCCCTTACTGTGTAGTTTGTTTCTTTAACCACTTCACCACGCTTCTGTTTACTGGAGCTAGACACCTCACCTTCCATTCCCTATTTCCATGTGTCCCTCACATCCAATGCTGTACCAGCTCAAGGCTGCTCTGTGCCTTTGTGATGAATGCTTATAGATCTGTTTCTTTGGTTCCTACAGCCATCAGTTTGCCATCTCCTATTTCATTCAAACAGCTACATTTTACATCCCTTGTCTCTATCCTCTGTAATGCATTTGTCATAGTAGTTTCATTATAGCAAGATTATGCGGCAGCACTAGTTAAGAAACTTGGAAAAGATGTTCCATAATCTTTATAAAAAGGCATGCCTATGACTTCCCCCATTATAATAATTCATCCCTATCTTCATGGTTCCAAATTTTTCCATGTTTTTTAAAAAATGTATTAAAATAATTGGATATATGAATGGGCTATGGTGTGACATTTCTATAGCTATACACGGCGTAAACTGCTCAAAACAGGCCAAGCATCTTCTTTGACATTTGTTTTGTGACTGTGGACTTGGGGCTCTGTTCTATTTGTTTTTACAACACATACTGGCTTATTGTGAACTATCAGGTCCCCTACTATATTTTTTTTTCAAGGTTGATTTGCTGTACGTGGTATTATTAGTTGCATACTTCACTATTTTTTTCCCTAGACTTTTTCACTTAGTTTGTGCATAGTAAGCCCTCCATAGTGTTTACAATTAAGCCCAAACTGATTGGGATGACTTAATTCTCTGATGTTATGCATTAACATAATATTGAAGACAAAGGGCAATAAAATGCAGATTTTAAATCATTTCCATCTTTCTTTGGCTGATGAAATATAGATCTGTCTTACTGTTGGTTTTCCAACATTTACTAAGCAGATCCTGTTTTATTAGGGTCGATTTGTTAGCTGCAAAAAAAAAATGTAAAGATGACAGCAGCTAAAGGCATGTAAGAACAGTTTTTACATTTCAGAACAAGTAAGTAGCAGAAAAATTGGCTACCGTAGAGCCGAAACACTGTCTTGACTCCAATGTTTGAGAACTAATTTTATTTTCTGTCTATTGAAACGGTCCCATTGTTGAGTAGCTGCAGGTGCACCCTTACTTTTTCCCTGTGAGTTTCCTCAGTGATTTTCTAAATCACCAGAGAGAAACTTCTAAAACCTTGGGCTGCCTCATTGCATAGGCTTGCGCAGAAGCTAAAGGGCCAGGCCTGGAGCTCTGCTGGCTTGGGTAGTACTCACCGTATCTAACATCTCCCGGGTATGTGATGCTGAAATGCAAAACCGAGCCCTCGCTTCCGCCAGAGGAGTGGCTGGAAATCCAACGACCACCACCGCAATTTTTTTCTCTAACATATGCCTCGCAAAAGCCCTTAGGGAAAAAGCAAACACAAAACAAACAAACAAAAACACAACATTTTAAATGAGTTGAGCTGAGACAAGACCAAGTTATCCTGCCTGCAGAAAGGGAATATTATGATTGAGTTTTATTTTTCATAATAAGTAGAAGATGATTGGAGTTAAACTTCTATCGAATAAAATTGACAAAGAAATGGGCAGACACTTGATGCTGCTTGTTAGAGAGTGTGTGACATTATGGGGCCTGACACATTCATTAGATAATTAAAGGTACTAAGTCTTTGAAATGGAGCAGAAATGCTGACGTATGTGGCATGTGGCTCTAGCTTAACAAGTCAGCTTTGATGTGAAACCCTTCATCTGAAGGGTTCCTTTAATAAAAAACAATAACTAATACACTGCAGTTACATAATAAAGCGCACATATGAAACACAAATCTACATATCTCTATAAAAACTAATCTCAGTAATGAGGGCATTTCAAGAGGTCTCTAATGACTATAGTTTTTTTTTTCTAATGTTTTATTTTGGAGGGCAAAGAGAGAGGGGTAGGGAGAGCAGGAGATTCCCAAATGCCTCTATCAGCTGGGCTTGGGTAAGGCTGACCCTGGAAGCCAGGAGCTTGAGCCCCAGGTTTCCACACCTACATGCACTGCCACCCACGGGTTGCACCTGCAGGAAGCTGGAGTCGGGAGCCAGGGCCAAGGGACAAACCTAGGCTCTCCATTGTGGGATGCAAGCTCCCCAACTGGTATCTTCATGACAACGTGAAATGCCTGCTCCAGTGACTGCAGTCTGAGGATCAGAGGGGCTTCAGGACCCAATACCAAGCCAATATGCCACTCAAGTGCCAACTATTATATTTTCCATCAAGTTGGATATAAGAAACAGCAAATCAGATATAAGCAACAGGTGTAAGAGACAGTACTTTCAGGGTGGGAATGAACCAGGTTGCCACGGGGCTGATAATTAACCCACTCCTGAGTTAAACCGGTGTGTGTCAGAGACGCAGGTTAAGAAGCCTGCACCCACAGAGGACTTGCTGTGTGCACACAACCTGTGAGGTGTGGGTCACGTGACTGTGTATCTGCCTCAGGATACAGCCATTGCAAGCTAGGATTCCTTCCTTTTCATCCTCCTAGTCTCTTTGTTTTTCAGTGTCATCCAGTAATGATTCTAAAGCATCCAGCTCAAAATTTATGTAAATGTCTTGTGCTAAGAGTCAAAGTCAGACAAAGAGGCATGTGTCCCCAACCGAGTCTTCCTGCCACCTCACTGGGGCTCTGTGGTTCTGCAGGAAGCCTTAATTGCTGAGTGGCTGTACCCGGAAATGAAGTCACTGCTTTAGATCTGCTCTCGGCACCAAGCGGTTGTTGGTGTATTATTTTAGCCTAGATGCTGACAGCACCACAGAAACCGTCCAGTCAGAAGTCAGAATCCTTGAGCGAGATGTGGACAGGAAGTGTCCTTGTCCAGTCCTCTGCCTGCTGACTGCCTCCCGCAGAATGCAGGGTATCACACAAAGCCCAGGAGACTGCAAGATCTACAGAAACGCACAACTTGTCTGTCCCCTCCCACCCCTCCACGGGCAAGGTGAGAGCAGCGCTTTGATTCCCACTGGGCAGGCTCCAGTGGGAGGAAGCTTTCTCACTGAGAAAGCCTGAAAACAGAGGCTGGTTTTTTTTTTTTCCCCTTCTTGATCACCCTATGGAAGGCTGCCCACGGAACTGCCCAGGATGAGCGCCCCTAACTCTCTGAGAAACAAGTCAAATGCTTTTATTGCTGGAGTACACATCACCTGACAGGAGCTCACAGGCCTGTGTGTGTGGGGGGGTACTCCCGGGGGGGGGCATTGTTCTCCATCTGCATGTTTCTCTTTGTGCCAAAGGAAGCCAGTTTTGCCAAAGAGCGGAGAACAATGGAGATGGCTGTTGATTCATTAGGCAAATTTAGGAACTCACTGTCGTACTTCTGAGTTTCAAACGTATGCTACTAAAACTAGCATTTTCAGGGAGTGTGTATGATCGCATTGGGTGTTTATATAATGAGTGGGTTTGCACTCCCCAGAGCAAATTAGAGCTGGCGTAGGCTGAAAGAAACTACACTATGTGAAATAATAATAATTAGCTTTGAATTGTAAGCAGCCATCCGTCCGTCTCATGCATCACCTTCTTCTAAGAACATGGATGTGGATGGAAAATGCAGTTTCTGCACCAGGAGTTACATACAGTGCATTCTGGATTTGAGGGCACGTTTTATGGGTGAAATCACATTATTGTAAACTCCACAGGACATTCCTAGGATAGAGTTGTAACAGGACTTGGCTCAAAAGCATACCTGACGGCAGATTTTATTTTCGCTCTTGCTTAGGTGGAAATCTGAAGACATCACAGTTCATTCATAAATTTTTTTAAATGAGCAAATGAAAGACATGCATCTGCTCTGAATTCTACAATTGATTTTCTGTTTCGCAGGCTTTTCTACAAGTAAACTCCCAACGGAAGAAGCATTATGGAAGGACACAAAGCCAGGCAGCCAGGTAGGCTCTTGCTAATACATTGTGCCAGCGACAAATGACAATACCTTTTGCAACTAACCTGTTCACAGTTTCCTTAGGTAACTAAAACAATTAGGTTCCCCCCCCCCCCCCCCCCCCCCCCGATCATAGTGACTGATGCTTTATAATCACCCAAGATGACATCAAAGAGAGTTAAATTGATACAGTGTTGCCTTAAAGAGACATGACTTTTTATTCCCCCCAGGACTAAAACTTTGTCATGTGTTGAAAAGAACTTGTTCAGGACACAAATGGAAAGGACTTTAAATTTGGGCTCTTTTGCTCGCGACCACTGATGAGTCTTAGAAAGCAGTTTTCTGATGTTTTCTAGAAACTGACTCGTTGGAACATTTAGGAGTCTCAGAATCTTTATTTATACCTGGAGATAATCATGCCAGCCTCGGTGTGAGACCACTGGAGTCTAGCAATATTAGGCTGCATAGAGTTGGAATGCCAGTCTTGTGGCGTGGCAGGTTAAGTTGCCACTTGTGAGATAGGAACCCGATACCTGAGTGTGAGTTTGAGTCCCTGATGCTCCACTTCCAATACAGCTCCTTGCTACTACACTTGGGAAAGCAGCAGATGATGGGCCAATTACCTAGACCCTCGACATCCACCTGAGAAGCCCTCTTCTTTCTTCTCTCTCTCTCTCTCTCTCCCCCTCTCTGTGTGTCTGTGTTTCCCCTTAACCATCCCATCACTTTGCTTTTCAAATAAATAAATAAATCTTTAAAAAGAGAATGTATCAATGTTTGTTTCTCTTGCAAACAAACAAACAAACAAACAAAACCCCTTAAATTGGAAGGAATAAGACTGACAGGGCCTGGCACAATGGCTCAGTGGTTAAATCCTCGCCTTGCAAGCACCAGGATCCCATAAGGATGCTGGTTGATGTCCTGGCAGCTCCACTTCCCATCCAGCTACCTGCTTGTGGCCTGGGAACGCAGTCAAGGATGTCCCAAAGCCTTGGAACCCTGCACCCGCGTGGGAGACCTGGCAAATCTCCTGGTTTCTGAGTTTGGATTGGCTCAGTCTCGGCCATTGTGGTCACTTGGGGAGTGAGCTAGCAGATGGTAGATCTTTCTCCTTTTTCTCCTTCTTTCCATAAATCTGCTTTTCCAATAATAAACAAATGAATCTTTTTTTTTAAAAGATACTTTATATTATCATCCAGTGTCTGGTATAGTAAAACTGATGTGTGAGGTGTAGCAGAATTTTTACATAATGTTTTTCTGGAAGTTATATTTTTATTCATGTAACCAAAGACTGCAAGGATTATTTTGGAGAGCCATGCCATCACGGAGACTCAACACTGCATCCCACTGAAATTAATTCCCATCATTGTAGCAGAATAGTAGTAATATGAGGGGGCTTCAAAACATTCATGGAAAGCATATATTATTAGGAAGTTTTGCTCCCAAATAAACTTATCCCTTAATTCCACCTTTCCATGAACTTTCTGGATTGCTCTCAAAGTTGTTGTCAAAGATTGAAGAATGCATATGGTACCCAGGCACTAGGTTAAGTATTTTATATGTATGATCAATATTATTAATAGTAACTAACAGGAGTTTCTTGAGGGGAGGAAGCATGCCAGATGATGTGTAGATCTCCTTTTGTTCAGCCTTCACAATGACCTTGTGAAGCAGGTAGTGTTATATCTCATTTTATTGGTTAGAAATAGGAGAGTCAGATGGTTGAGTAATTTGTCCAGGTTCTTCTAGGTAGGAAAAGGCAAAGTCAGTAGACCTTAAGCTTCTTACATAACTTTTACATAAAGTATTTTTGTCATGTTGACTTTTCCAATTTCAGTGCACTTATCTTCACTATTCATGGATTTCCAAACTGATTTTCTCAACTTATTGAGAAATTCTGCTTCCACCCTCAGAGTTGAAACTAATGAGCACACTCCCTGCTGCCTCCAGGCCAACATTCTAAATTTTCATCTTAAACAAGTTTATATTCGGTGCCTTTTTTATTTAGCGATAAAATATCAAGGTTCAAATCTTTCATTCAGGACACGCCATTTTCCAAACCACTTTGAATAAACACTGGTTTCCTTTTGTGCCTTCCAAAAATCAGATGGGGAAGGGTTCTGGGTTGTCTTCTACTTGGAATCACACTGTCACCCCTCCCTGCCATTGGCACAGAGTTGTGCATTGTGCAATATTCCTGCCTTACACTATCTTCTTGGACACCCCAAACACTGTTTTCTAAATTTAGAGTCATAAACAAGGGGCACGCTAAAAACCTCACGTACGTTTTAGTTGTCTATTTTCCTGTGGTAAAATGACACAAAAGAATGCTCCAAAGGGTCAGTCTTTAGGGAACTTATAACTCAGTTTTACCCCATGAGTTCTCCACCACAGGGCCTACACCTCTTAACGCCGGCACATTTTCTGTCCTTCAAATACTCCACCATTCTGATTGTTAGAGAGTCAAACCTAACGAACGGAGGCGTTTCAGCAAAGGCGTTATGCTGCCAATGGGCTACAACCCCTGGCATCTGAGAAATACCATGTTTAACATTACTTCCTATGCTGTGTTTGGGTAGAAACCCAAATAAAGATTTCTATTTAGAAAATATTGGAGTTAATTTTCTTAAAACAAAACAGAAATAGTATCTGGGGAGTGGCTCACATATAGATTTGTCTGTGTGAAAATGAAAAAGTTCTTTTTTTCCTTAAATCTTTTTGCAATTGCTAGGGCTCAATTTCAGAATTCTAGTGTTGCAATCAGTGGGAAACAAGCCGTGATCGGCTTATAATAAAGATATTAACATTTGGTGTCAAGAACACAGGATTCAGAGAGAACCTAAGCTTGTTTACCTTTTCCAGCTTAGTTTTACTACTGCTTGTCATGTTTGACTGTGGCTAAGTTGTTTAACTGCTCAAAGTCATAGCTACTCCATGCTTAAAATAAATGAGGAGTTCCTCTTCTGAGGGTGGCCATGAACACTCAGTGGGAGATAGCACAGAGAGAAGGCTTTCAGAAGTTATGCCTGAAAAAGACTGTGGGTCTAAAGAAAGAGGAAAATTCATCCTTAATTTACAGTTGAGACTGGGGGATAGAAGTGATTATCCCATGTTCACAGAGCCTGTGAGAAGCTGGCCTTTGCCTCTGAATCCTTTCGGGTAAGCCATGTTGAAAAAGTCCTACCGATGGGCTGGCAGGTGGCATCTGTATTCCGGATTCTAAACTTGAGCAGTCTGTTCAAAGTGCGTCATCCCGTAGCCCTGCTGACAAGCATACAGTCTTGAAAGAGCCACCCTGCCCGGGTCAGCCTGGGGTACAGGCATGACTCTGAGAGTCCTTGGATACTTACGCGACTTTACCAGGCATATAAAGCAGCACAGGAACAACAGGGGAGTAGTCATTGCCATAGATAATGAAACCCATTTCCCGCAGTCTCTGTCGGAAGTATATCGTGTTTTTTGTAAGTTGCTGTACTCGCTGCACCCCTGAAATGAGACAGGCATGAAATTGATCAGACCTCACCAGAAACATGCCAGCAGTAAGAGTGAGCTAGTATATAGGATCCAAAATGGTCCCATCTTTATCCAGTCATCTGTTATGCTTTCCATAGGGTCCATCGCAACTAAAACAGTGCACATATTCCCTCAAGCCTTTTTTGTCTGTTTTTGTTTATCAGGCTTAACCACTGCATCTTAATTGTGTTCCTAATATACACAGAGGGATGTAGATTTAGTTTAAGATAATACCTGCACATCCTTTCTTGTTTCCTGTTACTCTCTTCACTCAACCTGATTTCTCGCAGAAGATCCCTGTTCAACTTTGTCAACACCTCACAAGATCATCATGGGGAAAGCATTTTGTCTGTTGTCCTTATTCATGGAACCAGGCCCCTTAATATCACAAACCTTGATCAAGCCAATTGATGGAGGATATTCCATCAAAGCCCATTTGGGTGTTGTCCAGGGTACCATAGAGTGGAAAAAAAAAAGATGTATTAAACTCTCAGATCCTCTTGCTAGTAGAACGTGGATGTGGAAAATTCAGAAATATCCAACAGTTGATAGTATGAGTAACAACTGAAAGACAAATGAATGTTTCTTAACAGATTTATGAAATAGAGTAAGGTGTTAATTGGTAGAAGCAGTAACAGCCTATGAGGATGGGAAGTGGGCAGTGCGAGGTTTCTCAGAAATAACAGGGAGATATAGAAGCAGAAATGTTTACATCCTAGTGGGAGAGACAGACATTAACCAAATAATTACACGAACAGATAGGACACTGTAACTCTGATGAACAGAGCTGCCTTGATGACTCACCTTAAGACCAAATCCAAGGATCAATAAAAGATGAATGATCTGAGATTTGGAGGACAAGAACATATTAGCCAGGGGAAAAGCCAAAGGAGAGGGTGCCAGGCTTAGGAAATGAAGGCAGCATTGCTGTAATTGGAAGAACAGAGTGGTCAGGAAGCAGACAAGATGTAGCTGGTGAGTGTATTCATAATCTTTAGTTTGGTATCCTTGGGAAGGACTGGCTGCAAGTTAGCAGGGAGTGGGAGGTATTCCGTATACATTTTGTTGTATAGACATGTCTTAGCATGCTGAAGAATACACCTTGGAAACAAGCATGTGTACAGAGAGCAGCCTACTTCAAAAGATAAGGCTAAACCTTTCGCCTCTTATGTTGATTCTTGGCTGCACAGTGATCACACAACTTCACTGGGTTCAGCCCAGTGATTCTTAAATGTTCTCCCTTCAGGACTAGAAGTATTTCCTGGTCTGGAAATGCACGAATGACTTCAACTGATTTTCCCAGTGGCATTATCTTTGCACTTGCCTTTAATGCCTATCTATCACTGGATTGCCCCAGCTACTTAATTGGCCCGTTCTGTCCCTTTTGCCTTGATTAACCCACATAAATGGATCACCAATTTACATTATCACTTCGCTGCCTCTAGATCCTTTGAGACCTGATCAAAATATTCCTAATATAGATTCTCAGGGCGTCTGACTGGTGAGAACTGAATGTCTTATTCTTTCTCTGAAGCTTAGCACAGCATGACTGTTGGGACATGGTGACATACTTGGTGATCACCTTGTTTCCTCACTATAAATCCTGTTGAGATCCTTTGGATTGGCCAAGATACAGCTCCTTTCAATTACTCTCTTGCTCCCTCTTTTAAAATTGGAAACATTCTCATACTCTTGGAGAGCCTGAGGGCAGAGGGGGAATTTGTAGATATAAAACGCTCCTCATCTAGACAGGATGTGAGCGATTTTATTAATTATGTTGTCCTTTGAGATCCTTGCTTTTGCAGTGTGCTTTGTAAAAGCAGACGGAACATTTGGCAGGACATGACCCCTTGCAAGGAGTGGCCGGGCCAGGCTGGCCCGAGGCATTTTGGAGACTGGGCACTGCAGTCACACTGACTCTGAGTCCGATGGTTGCTGAGTGTCACAGTCTCTTTTGTCAACTTCCAGAATGGTCACAGAAGTGTTAAATTTGCTATATTCTGAGTTCTCTGGGAAGGCTAGTGTGTGTGTGTGTGTGTGTGTGTGTGTGTGTGTGTGTGTGTGTAGAGAAGAAATGGGCTTTGAAGCTAAATGGATTAAGAATCGAACTTGACCTGGACAACTTAAAGCCTTAAAACTTAAAGCCACCATTTCTAGTCCATACTTAAGATTGCAAATTCCCTGTGTTAAGTGCCTAATTAGGTCCTGGCTATACCATGCTCTTGGGTTAGATGTAGAAAATAAGAGGAGGACACACATGGCAACCTCTTCCTTGGCATGAGTGAGTATGTCCTAGCATAATTCCACTTACTGACTGCTGAAGTTCTCAAGCAACACATTTTATTAGGGAGACCTACTGCTCAATAGCTATTTTCTCCAAAGCACTCATTCAGCTCGAGGCCATCTGCCCCATCCACCTCATCCTCTCTACCAGGTGGACAAAATCATGGGTGAGCCCACCCCAGCTTCTGGTCTAGATGTTGCCATTCCATTCGTTCAGATTTCCAGCTCTGTGGGCTGGAGAGATAGGCGAGGTGAGCAGAGGTCAGCAGCACTTTAACCTTCCCTCCAATGCTGCAAAAACAAAAACAGCTGGGGCAGAGGAAGGAAAGCAAATAAAACACAAAGCATCTTACTACAAAGCGATGCCGTACCCTAATAAAAACAATGATCTGTGGCTTTTCCAAAAATACGCCTGCGACCAATCAAGTGTCTCCGAGGCCCAGAAGGAACCATGGATGGTGGAAACTACTGGATTGACCTTCTGAAATGGGGCAGGGGGAGAGGAAAGGCAGAATTTCTTCTCTGTCCATTGGCACGTAAAAGAAAACAGAAAATAATGGGAAAGAAAATGAAGAAAAAATAAGAAAGCCTTTTCCTCTGTAAGATTGAGCGAACAAGATGATTGGACAAGCTTCTGGGTCAATCCCCAGAGCCCCCTTCTGTTTGCTCTGGACTCTGAAAGCTCACTTGCTCCCAGGGGAGACATGGATGTGCCCAGAAGCCACGAGGTGACCAACTTCCTATCTCTCAGTCCTGAAATGATGTGGATCAAAGTATCCATGCTTCCTGCCTTCTTCCTAAGTTACTTAGCATACCTCCCTTCTCGGAACACAGACCGGCTGATCTTAAACACACTTTCAGGAAGGATCTGCATTTCTTGAAAAAAAAAATGTGGTTCTTGCTACCGGAAATGGGATGCCTCTCTTTCACAAAACATTTCATACAATTTAAGAAATTGATAAGAGGGGATACCAAAAAGTTCATGGAAAATGAACTTAACTACTTGGCCCAAACTAGGGGCCAAATATTTTTGAAATCCATGCCTACAAGTGATCTTGAACGAGATCATAGCAAATACTATGAAAAACTGTTCACGGGCTTTAGGGGTTGTTTTTTTTTGCACCCTGATAAATTGATCATTTAATTCCACTTTTTCTTTCCCCACCAACTTTCTGATGTACCACCAAGTCTCTGAAAAATGTAACTTACTGAATGAAGGATGCCAGCAATGGACTAGGAATGTGGCTCAGACCCCTTCCTCACCCCTTTTCTCTGTGTGTTCTCCTTGGCATAGAAAGGCCTGAAGGGGCGGGGGCAGGGAGGGAGAGGTCCTGGCATTAGAGTAGCAGCAGGAACCCAACTGGTTATTTTAAACACCAGAGAGCACACAGAACATTTTGTTTCCAGCACACCCAGGGCAGAGAGATCTTAGAAAAGATCAAGAGGATGTGGGGTGCTGAGAATCCCAAGGATCACATTAGCAGTGACAAGCTGCCCAGTGGGGTAGAGGAAACAGTGTTTGGAGTGGTTTACTGAGAAGATGGGGCATTTTTAAAAGCAGCCACCGACTCTCTCCCTTTTGATGTCCACATTCCAAGGTTACAGCATGTTTTATAGTCACATACACATGTTCCAAGGGCTCACCAGGCCACTCAGTCATGCCCCTGTGCTGGACAGCTTTCTACACCGCCTCATGTCAAGCGCTCTAAGATGCCTCTGTCTTCACCTCCCCACCAGCTCCTCAGTCACACTGTTTAGGATTTAACCTACAAGGAGAGATGGGAATGGCTATCTCTTGCCTGCTTGCTCTGCCCCAGGAACTGAATTCTGAGTCCCCCTCACGTAGAGGAGGTACCTGAGACATGGAGATCGTTGATGCATTACCCACCGACCCCCAAATCAGCCATGCTTAGGACATGATTGCAGGGCTTGGTGTGGAAAGCTGATGAACTCATCCATGACAGGGCACAAATTCCATGGCTCACATAGTGCATCAATGAAAAGCACTCTTTAGCTGCAGCAGCCAGGTCAGCTGCTAAGGAGGGAGGAGCAATTGGGATTTGTTCTGGGACTGTTTGGAATGAAAGGTCTATTAGGAAACAGAGAAGATATCAAATACTAAGCAATGGAAAATAAGTGCCTTAGGACAGATACAGACATTTCCATAATGCTGCTCATGAATATTTATAGAATGAGTGATATGATTTAACATGAATTTGCATTTAAATAGAGAGCGATGTCTTAGCAACTCATTAGTTATGGAATTTTCAACGAGGCAAAATTGAGAGTTAAGGGAACTTTGGAAGACCCTTGCAAATTGGTGGTTCTTTAAAAAATGTTTTTTAAATGTATCTGAGAGGCAGAGAACCCTGGTATGTAGTGAGTCACTTCTGAGATGCCCACACCAGCTGGGGCTGGCCAGGCCAATGCTGAGGGGCAGGAAGTCAGTGTGGTTCTCACACTCCGAGTGGGGACTGCAACTAGAACCCCAGCCCTCTGATGGAGGATGCTGGCATCCTAACTGGCATCTTGACCTGAGGACCAGATGCTGCCCAAGTCAGCATTTCCTAAGCAGAGGTAGCATCAGAGTCCTATGGAAATTTTATTTATTTATTTTTTCTATTTCTTTATTTCTTTTAGAATACATACAATAACCTCCCTTTGTACTAGAAGGACTGGGGTTGACCTTT